ATAGTGTTTAAAAATGACTGCATTAGTTTCCTATTGCTTCTGTTATAAATTGCCACAAACTTAATGGCTTAAAACAATGCCAATTTATTATCTTGCAGATCTGGAATTTGATTTAGCCATTCCACAAGATATACATATTTCAAAACAATATGTTGTACACAACAAATATATATAATTTTTATTTGTCAGTTAAAAAATAACTAATTTTGGGCCGGCCCGGTGGCGCACTGCTACAGTGCGCCGCTTGGGAGTGCAGCGGCACTCCCGCCGAGGGTTCGGATCCCACATACAGGCTGGTTCCCGCTCACTGGCTGAGCCCCCCCCGGGCGCAACACCGAGGGTTGCAATCCCGTTGCCAGTCCCGGTCCGGTACGGGCACGACACTGAGGGTTGCGATCCGTTGCCGGACACGAAAAAAGACAAAAAGGAAAAAAATTTTTTTTAAAAATAACTAATTTTGGGCCGGCCCGGTGGCGCACTGCTACAGTGCGCCGCTTGGGAGTGCAGCGGCACTCCCGCCGAGGGTTCGGATCCCACATACAGGCTGGTTCCCGCTCACTGGCTGAGCCCCCCCCGGGCGCAACACCGAGGGTTGCAATCCCGTTGCCAGTCCCGGTCCGGTACGGGCACGACACTGAGGGTTGCGATCCGTTGCCGGACACGAAAAAAGACAAAAAGGAAAAAAATTTTTTTTAAAAATAACTAATTTTTTTAAAGTCCTAAAATCAAGGTATTGGTAGGGCTGTATTCCTTCTACAGGGCCTAAGAGAGAATCTCTTTCCTAGCCTCTTCCAATTTCTGTGGCCTGCCTGGATTCCTTGGCTCATGGTCCCTTCCTTCATCTTCAAAACCACAACGTATTTTCAAATTAATCTCTCTCTTTCCCTTTTTCTCTCCTCTGATTTTGTTGTCACATTGCCTTCTCTGACTCTGACCCTCCTGCCTCCCTCTTATAAAGATGCTTATGATTACATTGAGCTGATATGGATAATCCAGGATAATTTCCCCATCTCCAGATCCAAGCATAAACTAGTCAACATCTTAATTTAGCCATGTGTGTAAAGTCCCAGCACCATGTAAGGTCACATATTCACAAATTCTGGGGAATACAGCGTGGACATCTTTGGCCATTATTCAGCCTACCACAATGATATAAGAGAAAACTTTGACTTTTTTAGTTAAATAAATTCTATAAATTCTATAAACAACCCCATTTTTATACTTATTTTATAGTTCCTAACTTGCAGAACAGGTAAAGTAAAACAAAAATTCCTATTCCTTGGTCCTATGATCAATGCTCATGATACATTAGATGTTGCATCGTCTAGAGAATGTGATATTTAATACAGACCTAAATATCTTCATTTCCATCACCATAAACTTTTAGGCAAAGGAAGACGAGACAAAATTCTAGTCCAATACAAGCACAAACTCATGGAAAATTCTAATGACCGGGAGGTTGGCTGGCCTCAACATCCAAGGAGTCCATATTTTTTAAAATCATCAAAGGGTTATAAGCATCATCTCGGTCTAGAATTAGAACAGTCAAGATGTCTTGATGACCATAGCTTTGCAGTAAGTTTTGAAATTGAGAAGCGTGAGTCCTACAACATTGTTTTTCTTTTTAAAGGTTATTTTGGCTATTCTAGATTCCTTGTTTTTCCATACTAATTAAGGATTAGCTTGTCAATTTCTGCAAAGAAGTAGCTGGAATTTTTACAGGAATTATACTGTATCTGTAAATCAAATTTGGAAATACTGCTATCTTAACAATATTAACTCTTCCAATCCATGAACACTAATTTCTTCCCATTTTTTTGAGCTTCTTAATTCCTTCAATAAATTTTTGTAGCTTTCATTGTACAAGTATTACACTTATTTTGCTAAATGTGTTAAGTATTTTATTCTTTTTTGGTGCTACTGTAAATGGAATTGTTTTTTTCATGTCATTTGCAGATTGTTCATTGCTACTGTATAGAAATACAATTGATTTTTGTATCTGGATCTCGTATTCTGCAACTTTGCTGAACTTGTCTATTATTGCTAATAGGTTTTAATTGATTCCTTAGGATAATCTATATAAGACCATGTCATGTATAAGTAGAAACAGCTTTACTTTTCTTTCCACTGAGGGTCATGGAATATAATCCATATCCCCTACATAGAAATTGTGGTGGTTTAAACATTCTTAGGTATTTGAGATATATGTTGAATATTGATTTTGATATTAGAGAACTCAAAGTGGATAGCAGTTCTTAGAAGAATTAACAGTATATACCCCAGATTCTAGGATATGCAGTCTTATTTCAAGACTTCTTCCCTCCATAGATTAAATGATATAAGGAAAGTACATCCAGCCCCTCCCAAAACATGCTTTTAACCATACTAAATTAACTGATGCTCAACATTTCACAACAGTAGAGCAATTTCTCTTCTCTACAAGGCTGATAACACTCTCTCATAAAGCTCTTATAAGAATTATATGTATGCCAAGTACTTAATTCAATGCCTGGCATATAATAAATACTCACCAAGTGGTAACGAATAAAAATATAGTGGTACTAATGATGGTTGTAGTGAAGCTATTAAGACACCCTAAAACCCTTCAATGACTCGCCATTGCCTTAAAACAAAAAATCCTGATTTCTTGCCACAGACCCTTTGTGATCTGCCCCTGCTAATCTCTTCCATCCCATCTCTTGGCACAATTCCCTCACACTGCATGTTCAAGATGCACTGACCTGCTTGAAGTCCCTTCAGGTGACATGTTTTCTGTCACTTCCAGACCTCTGCACACACTGTCCCTTTTAGCCAGAGCACACTTCCTCTTTCTGGCCAACCCAATTGCTACCTTCTGTTACCCTTCTGAGACCACACCGCCAAAGTAAGCATAACACCCCTCCTGTGTGCTCCTCACTTTTACCCCTATTCCAATATGACAGTAGCCTATGGACTATCAGCTGGTTTAAGGTAAGGACTGTGACATGTTTACCATGTCCCCCATCCCCACTGAGTGCCAGGAAAGGGCCTGGCACAGTCAATACTCAATTAAAGCTTGTCAAATAAGTTGAAAGGATAAATACCTGAACTTGAACTTTTCTAAATTATAATC